ATACTTCATTAAATATTACTATTATAAGGGATGCATACTTCATTAAATATTACTATTATAAGGAGTGCATACTTCATTAAATATTACTATTATAAGGGGTGCATACTTCATTAAATATCACTATTATAAGGAGTGCATACTTCATTAAATATTACTATTATAAGGAGTGCATACTTCATTAAATATTACTATTATAAGGAGTGCATACTTCATTAAATATTACTATTATAAGGACTGTATACCTTTTTTTTAATGAATTAGAACTTATTCTAACTTTCTTTGCCCCATCTCTCTCCCAGATGTGTCTTGAGCAACAAGCAGCTCCCCTGGTTTTCACTATGGATTTCACTCAAGAACGACTCTGACCTCAGCTAATGAGGTCACCCCTTCTCTGAAACTGGCCTCAGTCATCTCGCCCTGCTGAGCGAGTCAGGCTCTCTGTAGCACTAAGGTAGAGGGTGAGTCAGAGTGCAGGAGGTGGGTGGAAAACTCCCCACAGCTGAAGATCAGCCAGTAAGGAAGTGGAGATTTCCAGCATGTGAAGCGGATTCATGCACTGGAATGTCCTGATAAGGGAATGCGCTGTGAGCCGATGCCAACATCCAGTGTTTTTCATGTACATCTCTGTCAATGCTGACATACAGAAATACACCGATCAGGCATAATTACAGACTGTAGTCCAACAAAAACTCCAGTAGCACTGCTGTGTCTGATCCACTCAGACCAGCACAACACACACTAACACACCACCACCACGTCAGTGTTACTGCAGTGCTGAGAATGATCCACCACCCAAATAGTACCTGCTCTGTGAGGGTCCATGGGGGTCCTGACCACTGAAGAACAGGGTGAAAGGGGGCTAACAAAGTATCAGAGAAACAGATGGACTACAGTCTGTAACTGTAGAACTACAAAGTGCACCTATATAGTAAGTGGAGCTGATAAAATGGACAGTGAGCGCAGAAACAAGGAGGTGGTCAGAATGTTATGCCTGATCGGTGTATGAGCAGTCAGAACTCTATTCTCCACCAGAGGGCAGTGTGGAGCCTGTGTCTTCTATTGTGGTCAAAGGGTCTGTTTAGTGGAATGAAGGAAACTCAGAAAGACTACAGCGTCCGTCTGAAGTCCTTCAGCTCCACTCCTGCACAGTTTGATGGCCATTATAATAGACAGTCCCGCAGCGGAAAAGCCCTGGTCTAAGAGTTTCAGCCCACTGGATGGTCACACTAAAGAGTGACATCTGAAATTTCTGTAAAATGAGATTTCATGATGCATCAAATAACAGTCGAATCAATAATCATAATCGAACTGGACAGTTTTGACAAGATTTCATGATGTACTGTATCGTTCCCTAAAGAATCAATCGAACTCAATTTTAGTAAATTTAAGATATGTGAATCATTTCCTAAAGAATCATGCATAAGCTGAATTGTTTCGAAATATGAGATTTCCTAATGCACTGAACTGTTTCCTAAAGATTCATAATAAACCTGAATCGTTTCAAATTGAGCTTTCCTGAATCACTGAGTCATTTCTTAAAGAATCACAATCAAAATCAATTGTGCCATTTGAGATTCCATGATGTACTGAGTCATCTGCTAAAGAATCATAAGCTGAATCATCTCAAAATATGAAATTTCTGAATGCACTTCATCATTTAAAGAATCATAATCAAATTCAGTTGTGACATCTAAGATTATGATGTATTAAATCTTTCCTAAAGAATCCTAAAGAATGCACTAGGAGATTAGGAGATTTCCTAAAGTACTGAATCATTTCTTAAAGAATTCTTTACATTCTTACATCTGAGATTTCATTAAGTTTTGAATCTTTTCCTATAGAATCACAATTAAGCTGAATCATTCTGAATGCACTGAATCACTTCCTAAAGAATCATAATTAAGCGGAATCATTTCTAAATATGAGGTTTCCTGAAGCACTGAATCACTTCTTAAAGAATCATAATCAAATTCAATCGCGATAATTGAGATTTCATGATGTATCATTTTCTAAAGAATCGCAGTGAAACTGAATCACTGAAGCTCTGGATTTTATGACTGATTTTCTAAAGAGCCAAATCAAACTGAATCACTGTGAACTTTGTAATGTCATGACGCACCGAATCATTTCGTGAGAAGAATCATAACCTGATCAAATTTGTTCGAGGTCATTAATTTAGACCCCCTGCCCTTATTCACTTCCAAAGAGGGCTCTGTAGAGATCAAACAAACTGCAGAGAAAATGCTGAGTAAAGAGGCCGGCGGTGGAGCAGAGTGGAGTATAATCGGCCTGCAGGCGGTCAGTGGATTATCCGCAGTGGGAGGGGTCAGTGTGGGGGATAATCTGTAATCTGTATGAGTAAACACTGACTCTCAGCAGCGCTGGATCACGTCCAGAGTAAACAGGGACTTTTCTACTATTACAGTCCGAAACAGGCCAATAGAGGAAATCCCGCCGCTGTAACACTAAGTAACCTGCAGGGCTGAAGCCAATCACGGGGTCAGTCGGTCAGAGAAAGAAACCGGAAATGACTCCACTGGCTAACTTGGTTAACTGGATAACTGTATGGACAAACTCCTTTGAGGCGGCTGCTGCTACTGTTTTTAACTATATGAAGTACTTTAGTCCATCAAGACACAAGACTACTACAGATTACTTAAAGGAGGACTCCACCAATTTCTTTAAACTTTTGCATAATTAAGTGGTTGAGATGTAAACAGAGTCGTTCAGAGTGGTTTGGTGTGAAATGCTCTGTTCTAGAGTCAGAACTGTTCACAGTGGTGGTGATAGGAACCAGACGTCCACCTCTAAAAGCTCCCTCACAGAAAGTTACTACAGGAAATGGTTATGAATTCACTGCCTGATGCCTGAGACACTGTTTTATGGTAGTTCTGAGATTGAAGTTCGGCCTAAAACATTTTAAATGGCATGTAGGCAGTTATAAGGCAAAATAGTCCCCAAAGAAAACTTTCAGATTTTCCACTATTTTTCGTCGACATTCCATATAAAGACTCATGTAGGTTCACTGGTGGTTTTGGATAGTAAATAAAATGGCTGTGTTTGTGTTGTAGACACCGCAAAACCCACATCTGTAGTACTATTTAACACAATTCACGATATTACTAAAAGCATAATTTAACTTACTTGTGCCAGTTTCCTCTGGACAACGACTGGAAATTACAAAATGAAAGAAAAAAGGTTTTGGGAATTACCAGCCAACCAACAAGTAAACAAATAAATGTGAAGGTTATTTTAGTTTTTCTTTTCTAGAAAATTGCAAAATGGCACATCGGTATCATGAAATTTGCATATCATTACTCCAAACTGTAAAGAAATCCACTCTGAATGGCTTTGTGTACATCTCAACCACTGAATTATGCAGAAATTTTGAAAGACTTTAGGGCTTTAAAGTAAAACCATGCTGATAAATTAATGTTTACCTTCAGAGAGAATAAATTAGGTAATACAGTCTTAAAGCTGGGGTTACACTACATGACTTTTACCCCAATTTTAGCCCCGATTCTCAGTCTGGCCGAGACTGTGCTGGTCGGCTCTGGTCTGCAGATTTTTGCGTCAGTCGGAGTCGACAGTTAGAGAAAGAGTAGAGTCGTGTTTGAGGGGCGCAGACTCAGATTTCTGGCCTCCCGATCGTCTCAGTCCAGTCAGAGTTTATCAAACGTCTGATTTTTTCGACCCAACTCTGAGTGTAATCTCGTGTAAACTGGTCAACGACTCAATCTGAACCGACTCCTGCAACAGCCAATAAAAACTGAGACACGAAAGAAGAAAATACAGCAAGTAAACAAAGAAAAATGGAGAAAAGTCTCTTAAGTGTGGAGCGAAGCTTTTTATGAGCTGAGATTACGGCACAATCAAGTTTATGTACATTTAAAAACTCTAAAAATACCAGCTGATCACATTTATAAATCCATGATCCTCAATTAAACATCACACGTTTGCAGCAACACGTTTGTTTATTTGCGTCTCCTAGTGACGGGATAACGCGAGAGTTTGCAAGAGTTAGCATGAGTTTGCGCGAGTTCCGTTTGGTTTAGCAGCAGCTTTAAAGTTGAGTAGTCTGTGATCCCTAATCGTTTAGTGTGGAATTTCCAATATTTCGGTCACCCAAAAAAAAATCTGTCTAATCAGTCTAATACTGCCAGACACCCAGTCTGCTATAATCTGCTAAGACTTTAAAAGTCGTGTAGTGAACCTGAGGCTTAAGACGTGTGCAAAGAAAAACAAACCCCACTGCAAACACAGCCGAGTTCAGTAGAATACAGTAACCATCATCTATGAGAAAAGGAGAAGGATGTAAAGAGCACAGTCAGCAAAGTCACTCTCAGTGTTGAATCAGTGTTCAGTAACTGAGACTGTGAGTCAGTGTGTCAGTCCAGATTTACGAAACAGCTCACAGTATCAGGGCTGACCTGGGATCAAATCTCCTCTACACAAACTACAGTAATTAGGAAAACGAAACTGACCCCGACAGACTTCAGAGGTTCTGTGAAACACATCACTGCGTAACTGTACTGAGTTGTTGTCACTAATGGAGACTCTACAATGGGGGGTTATTAGGTTTAAACCAACAGGCAAATATGCTGCAATTTCAGGTGCATCACAAAATGTGTGCTTACTCGATTGTCAATCAGAACCTCCATTAAGTACAAGTTACTCATGTTTCAGGAGATGAGATATCAGATAATCCACTTGCATAAGGAAAGAGGAAGTTAAATTGAAAGAGTTTCCAAAACTGGAGTTCAAAAACTGATTAAAAGCTCGAGTAAATGGGGCTCCTAACAACCACCTGGAAGACCTGGTAGACATCAAAGCTGCCCCCCATCAGATAAACAGCACTTAAAGCTTTCATCTCTGAGAGAGAGGAGAAAATCAAGCTGCTTCAGATCTGAAAACATCCACAGGTGTTTCTGTCCATCCTTCCACTGTGAGAAGACGACTCAGCGCTGTGGGTCTGAAAGGATGTGTAGCTGATCAAGAAGAACCTCACTGAGAAAAGGAGACGGACACATCAAACAAAGAAGCTGAACGATGGACTGACCACCCCAGAGTCCAGACCTCAACACCACTGAATGTGTTTGATTACTTCAGAAAATGATCAACCAGCTTCTAAGACTGAACTTTGGAGGTGCAAAAAATACGCACTGAACCCCGTTTGCACCTACGCTGAGCGCCGTACCGCTTATGATCAGATCCCCCAGGGCTGACGGAGACAGACGGAGACAGACGGTGATGGAGGTGTGTATGAACTCTTACTTGGTGAGCTGTGCGAGCTGGAACTCGAGCGATCGTTTGTTCTCCAGGGCCGTGTTGATCTCCTGCTTCAGCTGTTTCTCAGATCCCCTCAGCCTCTCGGCCTCGATGGTCCAGTTCTTCAGCTCAGTCTGAGCCGAAGAACGCTTACCACACTCCTGCTCCAGCTGCACCCGCAGAGCCTTCACCTGCAGCACCACACGACAACCTGTTAGGGTCTGCAGAAACTTTAACTGCAGAAATGATGTGTAACTGTACACTGACTGGCCACTTTATTAGAAACACTACTACTTCCACTCACTGGCCACTTTATCAGAAACACCTACCTTGCGCTTCCACTAACTGGCCACTTTATTAGAAACACCTACCTTGTGCTTCCACTAACTGGCCACTTTATCAGAAACACCTACCTTGTGCTTCCACTAACTGGCCACTTTATTAGAAACACCTACCCTGCGCTTCCACTAACTGGTCACTTTATCAGAAACACCTTCCTTGCGCTTCCACTAACTGGCCACTTTATCAGAAACACTTACCTGTGCTTCCACTAACTGGCCACTTTATTAGAAACACCTACCCTATAGCTCCGCTATGAGGGTGTATGGTTACAGACTGTGGTCTATCTGCTGTCATGTACAGTTCGGGAGGTGCTGTGCCTGTTTTTACCTCGTCCTCCAGCCTCTCCTTCTGCTTCATGAGCTGCTCCATCTTCTGCACCGACTGCTTCAGGTCAAACTCCAGCATAGAGCACTGCTTCTCCACCTCCACCACTCGGTTCTCCGCCCGCAACCGCAACACGCTCTCCTCAGACACCTTCTGCTCCACCGCTGTACAAAGACAGACCACACAGGAGTGTCAGTATTTCTCCACCTTCTTCAGTCCCATCATCACGATTAACATTAATGGGGCTGCAGTTCGTGCCAAAAACCCTAAGGACTAGGGTCGGGTGGCATTACAGTAATACCGCTGTTATAGAAATGATGGTTTTTCAAAATTGCGACTTTACTGATTGGTCACTGGTTGTGTGGGTGCTCACTAATAGGGGGCGCTGATAAAAATAAGGGAGAAGTCAGAGGCAGGAAATAGTTAAGTGGTCAGCAAACGCACAGGAATAACTTCTTTAAACAGGACAGCGTGAATGTTTTCTGACTATATCTCACGCAACAGAAACAAACTGACTAAATAAATGAGGTACAAAAACAGTCTCATTTACTTGCTACCTACTGCTTCAAACACAATTCAAGAACAGCTTTTTAAAGTGGGACAGCATTAAAGCGTCCTGGTTCAGTGCCCAGGCCTATGTCTCACTTTAGAGACTTTCCTATAGGGAAGCAACACCTTTCTTCTGGCATTTAGCTTGATAAACACTTGTTCTGAACTGATAAAGCCATTTCACGGCAGTGTGGACAGCCAGATCCAGCTTAAACCCTGTGACAGAGGAGAGATTCTGAGAGCGGAGGTGATTTTAGCGGGCAGTTCGCATCAGACAGTCTGTGTAACGCTTTGAAATCTCATACCTGAGACCACAGAATCTGCCACCAACACCAGCCACTCCACTTTACTCCCTCAGGCATTAGTTTAGATCATCTACACTTGTTTCAGCAGAGCAGTCAGTCAGAATCAGACCTGTACTGTGGTCTGTGCTCTGTAAGTGTACACAGCCTGGTTGCTAAGGTAACGTTTAATCAATCGATCAACCTTTATTTAATCTCGGGGAGCACTGAGGGTGACCCTCATTTACAATATTGCTGAGATGATTCAGAACAAGGGATTGATAATGTTAAGAACACATCAAATGATAAAAGTAAATTTAATTAAAAATGACTCAAATCAGGTAAGTATATGAAAAAATGAAACATTATTAATAAAAATACATAAAAATAAAGTAAAAAATATAAAACAATAATTAAAACATAGCTCAAATGTAAAAGTCAATAAAATCAAATCAAGTCAAAATAAAATAAAAGGATAATAAGATCAAAAAGTAAACTAAAACTCATTAAAATGACTAAAATAATAATAAAATAAACAATTAAAATACGAATAAGAATATGAATAATAATAAATAAACAAATAAATAATAAAATAATGAAAATAAGATAATAATGGTAAAAATAATCAGGTAAAGCAGTGGCAGGCAGAGTGGAGGTGGTTAGAGAGTAAAAGTTTAAAACGACCCAGCGAGCTGAGCTTTAACGTTAAGTTAGCCAATCAGGCTACAGATCTATCTATCGATATTCTTTTCTCAGACGTCTCAGACGTTTTCTCAAACTAGTAAAAACGAACTGTTGTTCAAACTTCTAATCGCTGCATTAAATTAAACCCATAAAACCGCCGTAGCGGGTGACTTGGCTCGACACAGAGAAAGGCAGATCAACTAAAACCTTTAAGATGAGCAGAAAACGTTACCTCAGCTGAGTCACTAACCTTTTCACGCCATCATTAATTTAGCCTCGATTCTGTGAAGAGCTTCTAAGTTGTTGAGGAAACCCAAACGTACCGTGCATGGCGGCCGATTTGGCCTCCTCGATGGACTCGTATTTGTCCGTCAGCTGTGCCCGACTAGCCCGGTGCTCCGTGATCTCATGATCGAGACGCTGCTGTAGGATCTTCAGCTTATAGTTTAGATCGATCTCCAGACTGTTCTTCTCCTGAAGACGCAGGAAAACGAGACAAACGAGTCAAACCTCACAAAAACCGCACCGCAGCACCCCACACACAATAACAGGCACAGAAACAGAGGCTGCTGAGGGGGTTTTAAACCAGGCTTCGCAGTTTTGGGGTGAAAATGCACCCAAATCCACAGTTTACAACACTGTGAGCTTTTGGGGGTGTGTGAAATATGCTGAGCGCCCTCTTGTGACTTTATTAGATATAACACCATCAGACTTTTTCAGTAGTTTCTTGATATATAATCTAAATTCAAATTTGAAATATATTCGAATATTTGGAAAAAAGAAAGAAATTTCATATTTAATTTCGGAGGCCAGTAAATTAATATAATTCATTAATTAGACTACATTAACTTGAATCAAGAGATTTTGTTCATATGATACTCATACACAAGGTGAGTCCAAGGTCAAAAACCACCAAAACATCTGTAGGACACTTAATGTTAAACTGATCTCATTACCATCATTTGTTAGACTCGTGGATAACGTGCCATTGGTGCACCTAGAGGGGGAAAATCTGATGATATTTTATAGATATTGTTATAAATTTTGTTATGTGGATATCATCAGTACTAAAAGAACGATGACTAAGCACACGTTTCATGAAGACAGCATCATTAGTTCTGTTTAACTGGATTCAATCCAGCACAGTATGGGCAAAAGTCGTTTTAAAAAGAGCATCCAGAGTTTTTGATTTTCTGTTGTTTAATTTTTATTCTATTCTATTTTGGCAGTGCTTTGTGTCTCTGTGTGTCAAAATATTGTGAAATGCATTTCGTATCATGAAAATGTCCAAGTATCGCGATATGTTTTTGCGTCATCACCCAGCCCTGGGTACTTTTACACACACACACACACACACACACACACACACAGATCAGGCATAACATTCTGACCACCTCCTCGTTTCTACGCTCATTGTCCATTTTATCAGCTCCACTTACTGTATAGGTGCACTTTGTAGTTCTACAGTTACAGACTGTAGTCCATCTGTTTCTCTGATACTTTGTTACCCTGTTCTTCAGTGGTCAGGACCCCCATGGACCCTCACAGAGCAGGTACTATTTGGGTGGTGGATCATTCTCAGCACTGCAGTAACACTGATGTGGTGGTGGTGTGTTAGTGTGTGTTGCGCTGGTCTGAGTGGATCAGACACAGCAGTGCTGCTGGAGTTTTTAAACACCAGCGCAACACCTGCTCTGTGAGGGTCCATGGGGGTCCTGACCACTGAAGAACAGGGTAACAAAGTATCAGAGAAACAGATGGACTACAGTCTGTAACTGTAGAACTACAAAGTGCACCTATATAGTAAGTGGAGCTGATAAAATGGACAATGAGCGTAGAAACAAGGAGGTGGTCAGAATGTCATGCCTGACCGGTGTGTTATCCCAGTTCCTATACTTGAAAAATCACTCAAGTCTCTCACATTTAAGGGTGTGAATCACTCACAGAGAGTCTCAGCGTCATTATGGGAAGAGTTAGATCAGACACAGTGACCTGTATGCAGAGTCATACTGATCAGCTCACCTTCTCCAGACTGTTACTCCTCTCCTGAGCCTGCTTCCTCTCCGCCTCCACTTTAGATAAACTCTGCTTCAGGTTCTTATTGTCCTCCTGCAGACCTGTGATACGAGCTACAGAGCAAGACAAGGGTTAGACATGACGCAAGCGGCATCACTACAGTCACCGTTACAGGATTTTACAGCTCAAAGGACGCTTCCACCCAAAACCGAAGAGCTCCTCTGCCACTCTGTACTAAGCCACATGATTTTTTCTTAGACCAGAGGTTGGAAACATGAGGATCTAGAGCTACATCTGGCCCTTTTACAGCCCCTGGTGGCTCTTGTGGTAAAAATAACAGAATCCTCTTTTGCAGTAAAATAAAGCTCTGCTGTTCATTCTAACAGACAGTTCTTAAACTTCATTCATGGTGGAGGTAGAGCTGGGCGATATGGCCAAACAAAATTCATATCGTTCGATATCGATACATACCGCGATAAATGTCAAAACATTATTTCTTTCAGGTTTGAAGGCTGATTTTTGCTCCTGGGTGATTAATCGCTCTTTTAAACTATCCTTTATGGTCTGAACACAACAAACACTCAAACAGTGGAACATTTCACAGATCTGTCATGGGAGAGTGGGAGAGTGTCTGCTGAGCTGTTTTTACCAGCTGGAAAAGCACGGCAGCAGTTTTTGTAATAGTCATAATTTAAGAAAGAAACAGATTATTTTTAGCTGGTGCCGAGCGCTCGGCTACCTCGCTACCAATGACATCACAGCATTCAGACACCAGCTAGCGACGACTGGATTTCTCTATACTATCGTAGCAGTTTAAGTGGTGAACCGCAAAATATCAACACCAGACAAACAGAGTCCGACTTTTAGGTACGTTTAAACTGAAAGCGGTGCTTTTGTGTCGTGTTTGATCTACAGTATCATCAATTCTCCGTGCTGTGTGAGTGACAGAGCTGCTTCAAGTTAGCCAGCTGCTAAAAACAGCTAGCCTGGAAAGCTAGTGCTCTCCCGCTCTCCAACACCTCACAGCTTCCTCAGTTTACTTTCGTTTAAATCAGGGCTGTAATTTACATGAACCACTTCTTTCTTTCACTTTCGTTGCTTGTGAATGCACTAATACTCAAATATGACTGAGCACTGTAACAGTGCTGTAGTTGAGAGGAGCAGACGTGATTTAACACTGCTAAAGCTGGTTAGGATGTAGGGAAAGAGGTGAGTTCACTGTAGGTCAGTATAGTTACACCACTGACCTCGTCACTCACACTCGGTCACAGGAGAACAGATCGCCGGTCGCTCCACTCAAACAGGGACTGTATAACTCGGCGTTTCAGCCGTTGCTAAAGACTCATCTTACTCGTGGCCCCCTCCCTCTCTAATCATTTAGAAAAACTCGGAAGTGCGCTCTCTCCTGGTGACAGCAGAGTAGTGTCACTTTCCTTGCAGCAGAAAACGCCACCGAGGCTTTCGCTGAACGTGGAAGTGTGAGAATGGTGTATTATACCGAACATTTATCGAACATGTCGTATCGCTCTATCGAGGAAAAGTTATACCGCGATAATTATCGTTATCGTTTTATCGCCCAGCCCTAGGTGGAGGGATACATAATACGCAGAGTGCTGTGAGGCAAAATAGTTCCCAAAGAAAACTGATTATTTCAGATTTTCCACTATTTTCCATCATCAACATTCCATATAAACTCAGAAGACTCGTGTAGGTTCACTGGTGGTTCTGGATAGTAAATGAAATGTCTATATCTGTGTTGTAGTCATGGTGACCCCTGGTTCCTATCACCACCACTGTAAAGACATCTGAGACACTCTGTTTACATCACACACACTGAACTATGGAGAAAATATGCTGAAAAGTCAGTGGGATTTCTGTTTAAACTATATCCACCCTGTTTATCCTGCAGTGTTTATTATCCTGGTGCAGGTGTATTTACCCTGCAGTTGCCTTATCTCCTCGGAGCCCTGGCTGCAGGTGCGTCTCTCCGTGTCCAGCGTGTTCTGCAGCTGCAGCAGCTCTCGCTCCAGCTGCTGTCTGGCGCTGTCGGCCGCCCGAACCTTCTCCTGCAGTTCCCCGTTCAGTCCCTCCAGCTGGCTCATGGCCTTCCCCATCTCCGTCTGACTCTTCCTCAGACGGGCCGCCGTGTCTGACTCTGCGCGCAGCAGGTCGTTCGCCTCCTCCAGCTAATCAACACAATCGACAACCACAAGACCCGTTATTGATTATTTATGGAGAAAACACACAAACAAACCACAAAAAGATTCATGTGACCGGCAACAACCATAAATTAGATTATTTATGTATTCATATCCGGGACACTATATATTACATCATTCCTTAAGCCCGGAACAACACAGCCATATGCAAAAGTCTGTGCACCCCAAGTCAAATTATATATGTTTTTCTTGAAGCGAAAATAACACACCTCCACAGAGAACACAGAAACAGGGTATTTACTCTGCTAATTTTAGGGCACAATTTCTGTTTATTTACTTAACATATTACAATAAAAATTAAACATATAATATAAAGTGTGCCATAACTTTTGCTCAGGCCATAGTTTAGTTTTTATTTTTCCTCCCTCTAATATGTTATATTCAGTGAAGAAAGCTAGGCTCCGTTCACACAGCAGGTAAAAGTGGCCCAAATCGGATTTTCTCACCAAAGTTTTGTTTGTCTGTTCAGATTATCTTTTAAATGTGATCTGTATGCGACATCAGTCTGAACAGATCAGCTCCTAAACTGACCCACATGCGCAAAAGAACAGAGCTTCACGGCTCATCCAGAGGTAAACAATCACGAACACCAACGAGCGCCAGTCGCTCCCGGAGGATCAGCTTCATCTTCACCAGCATCACAGGAGCATCATGAAGCTTCACTGACTGACAGCTGGGCTCATCACCCAGAATGTGTTGGAGCCGTAAACCAAACAACCAAACCCGGTAACAGTTCATAATAACAGGCCCTAATAAACAGCTACTTTATCTAATAGCTGATGTTAAGGGTAGTTTATAATTACATAATAATGCATTAATAAATGGTAACATTTGAACATTAATCATCATTAATTTGAGCCCTATTGAAGAGCTGAAAGTTTATGATATTCTGATGAATTTATTTTTTATTATTTAGTGTTTTAATTATTTGTATGTCACTACGGAGATGGTTAATTGTTCAAATGGTAACAATATGATAATTATTAACCATCATCAACAAGCAAGTATCCATTTTAATGACCGATGTGTTTGTCTGAGCCCTGAAAGAGGCTGTAAAAGCGTCTTGCCTGGTGCTGCAGCTGGGCGATCTTATCACTGGAGGCCTGTGTGTTCTGGCTGATCTTCCTCAGGTTCTCCAGCTGCTCCCTCAGAGAGGACACTGCACACGACACAGCAGAACCGTTACAGTAACACTGCCGCAGCAACAGCTCAACACAGGACGTCCCGGTCAGCGCCGGGAGTTAAGTTTTATCAGTATTAAGGTGGTTTAATGCACAGCCTTAATCAGAGGGTAAATCAGAGGGTTTTTTGTTGTTTTTATTGACATTTATTTATTTCCCCTCCATCCACCATCACACAAACACCAATAATTATCTCTATTATTATAAAATATCGGCTCTGATGCTGACTGGTGACTGTATCGAATGCATTTGACTTGGAATATAAAACCAGGTACTTTTAACATCATGTAAGCCAAAAAAATCTGAGAAGAAAGAGAGAACAGCGAGCTACATTGGATGTTGATTTTTTGGGGCACGATGGACGACAAACGTCTCACTGTTGAATTCCAGATGAACCCAGCCTGTTAGCACAAAGATAAAAGAGTACAGAGCGCCCCCTGCCTTTTTCCACCATACATAAACAGCTATTAAACAGCTAAACAGTATCGATGTTGTCAGAACAAAACCTCGTATCTCCAAAACAATAACTTTACAGAAGAAGGAAAAAACACACTCTACTTTTAATGTAAGTCAATGGAACCAGACGTTTCTCCAAGTAATTTTGGGCCGTTTCTTTTGGTCCATTCTTCATGAAATATACACACAATATAAAGGGTAACAGGCATTTTTAAACTATGTCAAACCGAAAAATGACAAAAATGGGGATACGAGGTTTTGTTCCGCAGCGATGTACTGATAAAGATCTCCTCTGACTGTCATTCACTTTCGTCGATTACGTGGTCACCATGCCAGCATTCGCATGGCTTCATGCTGCTGACGGCCAAGTACCACTGTGAGGTGCGGAATGACTTATTTTCTAAGCAACTGCACCAAACATAACCAACATAGTCTATTCCGACAGGTGTTTACATGGACGTATTCCACTCCGACTGAGCTGTTAGTCGGACTATTACCGGATTATCAGGCTGCATGTAAACGTGGCTACTGATAAATTTAGTCCCGTCCAGATTCACATCTCCACTTTAAAATCTGGCCCATTACTGGAGTTATACTCAACACCTTCCCTGTCCCCATCAGGAACACTGAGTAAATAACCCGTCAAGCACTTCGTACATTTTTTTTTTTTTTTTATGTAGTGCCCATTGGCGATACTGATACTGGGTTTAAGAGACGGTACTAGAGCAACCCTAAATAGAGCTTAACTGGATTTGGTGCAGCCGAGACGTCTGTTCCATCCATATTAGACTTCTACATGCCGAGTTGCCTTGGATGAATATGGTGATCCCCCAAAAAAATTAAATCTCTGGGTGTATACACCGAGCAGGCATAACATTATGACCACCTCCTGTTTCTACGCTCACTAAAGAACAGGGTAAATGCAGAGAAACAGATGGACTACAGTCTGTAACTGTAGAACTACAAAGTGCACCTATATAGTAAGTGGAGCTGATAAAATGGACAATGAGTGTAGAAACAAGAATGTTATGCCTGATCAGTGTAAGCTTCTGGTACTTCTTAACTACATTAGCTTTGTGGCTCCAGAGCTGAAACTAAAGAAGCAAGCTTTGGCTGATCAACTACATTTGGGGCAAGAAGTGGAAACTGTAAATTTGATTAAATGCTGTCGTTTTAGTGAGAGAGGCGTGATGACTGACCCTCGTTCTCCAGATTTCGTCTCTTCTCGGCCTCCTGGTCAGCTTTCCTCTGGTACTCCGTGGCTCTGTGCTGGAGCATCAGCTTGTCTTTCTCCAGCAGAGACAAACTGGCCTCTGCACTCTTCCTCGCATTACTCTGGAAAACGGAGAGCAGGGAGGACAGAAGTGATCAGAAATATTATAAAATGTTATTCTTATTATTATTAGAACAACTGAGGCTGCTTAAAAAGGCATGTTTTATATTCACCTCTTCATCCAACTCTTTCATTATCTTGTCTAGTTTGGTGTTGGAAGCCCTGCAAAAGAAATTAATCAGACATATGAAGATAAAACACAAAGATTGTGTCTCTTTTTAAAGCAGAAACTGCATGAAAATCCTGCACAGAGATATATTAGAGGTACAGACGAAAAACAGCAAAGCTGTCAGATGTCAAAGTCGAATTTTCCCCGTGTCTCTTATCAAATCGTCGCTGTCTAAAGAAAAACAAGTATCTCCAAAATGATAACTTTACTGAAGAAGGCAAAAACATTCTCTACTTTCAATGTAAGTCAATGCAGAGAGATTTTATTCCAAACTATTTGAGTCTTTCTACTGATCCAATCCAAAGTTTCCACACAGTGTAACGGGCAGCTGCCATGTTCAAACTGCTGTAGAGAAAAATAAAAAAAGGAAATGTTTTTCTCTGGATAGCAACGAAATATTTTACATTATCTTTCAAAATCAAATCAAGGTTTCAGATTCCTAAGCCAACGTTACTTCTCCTAAAGAATGACTGACACACGGACGCCCAAATATTAATACTTTATTTAACCCTTTTAACTCCTTGGAGCCACCGGTGGTTCCAAAACACACTTCGTCATATTCTTTCCTTCATAACTTTCATATTTCATAAGCTACATTCTAAAGGTGGGGGTCGTATGGGAGCTGTAACTGTCCTCTTCCAGTCAAATAGATGGGTGATGTAATTTTAAACCCTTATAATAAAAGAAGCTGAACTCAGTTTTTTTTTTCTACTGAAAGTCGACCCATTTTTCCACAAATCTGGGCTGTAAACTATAAACAGATGGCGTCTCTTCAGTGATCTGCTCTGTAAACATTACTTTTATAAAATAATACAAAGATTTTTGGCTTTCAGCAGTAAATTTTAAGCATATAACAATATGTGCGATCATAAAACACATGTTCTGTTAATCTGAGGGGAGCTTTTACGGAAAAGTAAAAAATAAATAAATAAATAAATAAAATGTACATTTATTTCGTGCAGTTACGGAATAATCTGCCTTACGGAATAATCTGCCAAACTGCCTGAGGTTAATTATAAATATTTTTCACGTTTATTAAGTTGACTGTTAGACCAACAGATTACCAAATTGATTTCTGTCTTAATCCACCGGATGGCGCTGTTTCTTTCTGGTGTGACCGAAGTCTCTGTCCTGTGGAGTTACTGATATGAGCAGGTCGTCAGTGTAGTGGATTATATGCTCAGTCAGTAGATGTGACCCCTTAACGTTACTGCCACTGTAACTGCTCTGAATGAAATCACTGTATGTGAGGACAAAGCCTGATCTGAACATCTACTTCACAAATAAGAGCATCGGCTAAATCGTATAAATGTAACAACAAAGGTTTTTGAATTTTGTCTACTCCAAAGTTCTGTTTTGTCCAATAAAAAGACTGCAGTCAGACGACATCAGCCTTACACCAAACGACTTTAAGCGATTTCACTGTCGCGGACAAATTTCCAGTGTCGGAATAAAACCATGAGGGTCTTGCTAGAGTTGCGTTGCACTCGCGTCACCTCGATCGCTTAGCGTGAAGCGGTCAGGACGGCCGTCTTAAGTCAGTCTTTTTCTACAACCGTGTTTAATATTATCGTAAAATTTAAGTCTTGGCTCATGCAAACAGTGATGTGCCAGGGGCGAGAGAGAGAGAGAGAGAGAGAGAGAGAGAGAGAATGCATGCATGAGTGCCTGAAATCTCTGTAAAAAAAAAAACAAAAAACAAAAATAAAAAATTAAAAATAAATTACACAAAAAAAAAGGTAAATCTGCTCCATTTTAAAGCAATAATAATATTACCAATGTAAACTGTTCTAATATTCCAGGTTCACTGAGTGGAACAGTGATGTGAGGAAACCTGCAGAGGACTTTAAGAACGGCTTTACTGAAGAATCATCAATCTTTTTTTTTTGCTTTGTTGCACTGTTTTTATTTTGTTCGCTTGTTTTTTATGGTTTAGTTCATAACACCCAATCAATGATACTGAATCGCTGCATGTTCTGTTGATGTTTACATCTTTATGTTAAATAAAAAAGTATCTACACATTTTACAGGTTAATTAAAATTCTGGGTGATGATCTGTCAGAGTAAACAGCTCTACAGTGAACTGAGCCCCAGATCTTTACACACCCAGCCAACGTATCTTCCCATCCGTACCACTACAGGGTGGAAGGACAAGTGTTTATATGCTTCTAAATGTCCACCAGGTGCATGATGGGGAATAGTCTCAAAAATCTGGTTGCAGTAAATAGTGACACTGCAAGATACCCAGTCTTTACAAAATCATAGTCTGTGACTAAAAACTGGAACACTGTCTTCAGGTGTGAGAGGCTGTCAGACTTTTAGAAGTCTTCTAGTGAACGATTAACAAAGTGTAAACACTATTAGATAAAATGAAGAGTTTTCTTTTGGAGGAACCTCAAGACTTTCAGCATTAGAAGACGTACAATCTGAGAATAACAACACAATTAAACTATGTTTTAATTAAAAAAACAGTGCAGTAGGAAGTCAGAGAAGAACATCTGCTTAGAAAACGAATGGACAGTTGTGCAGACGGGAGAGCAGCTGCATGCGTTAATGGACAGGTGAGTACCTGCACTTCTGCTCCATCTCGTCCTTCAGCTGCATTTCCCCGTGCAGCTGCTCCTCCAGCTGATGGATCCTCTTCTGCAGGTTCTCCAGCTAGAAACAAAGCACGACAGACAGAGTTAGCATCCAATAACACACCAGTCACACCGCACAGCAGCAAAAAACAGACTTACGTGATGGATTCAAAGTCACCGCACACACTGTCAGCTGTTATACACAGTTACACCACAGGACTCATGGTGTTAATGTCTGTTAGCATCCACAGTCACATCACAGCACACTAGCAATTACAATTACACCACATGACACAGGCCGTTAACATCAATTAGCATCTATGCACTCACACCACAGCATACACTTAAAAAAAGCCACTACAGTCACACCACAGGACATCAGCCGTTATTACAGTTACACCACAGGACAACAGCCGTTATTACAGTTACACCACAGGACTCATGTCGTTAACGTCTGTTAGCATCCACACAATCACACCAGAGCACACAGTTAGAAATTATCCACAGTTACACTACAGGACACACCATTAACATCTCTTAGCATCCACAGTCACATCACAGCACACACTGTCAGCAATTACAGTTATACCACAACACAGGCAGTTAACATCAATTAGCAACTATACACTCACACCACAACATACACCTAAATAAGCTACTACAATTACACCACTGGACATCAGTCGTTATTACAGTCACACCACTGGACATCAGTCGTTATTACAGTCACACCACTGGACGTCAGTCGCTTTTACAGTCACACCACTGGACATCAGTCGTTATTACAGTCACACCACTAGACGTCAGTCGTTATTACAGTCACACCACTGGACGTCAGTCGTTATTACAGTCACACCACTGGACGTCAGTCGTTTTTACAGTCACACCACTAGACGTCAGTCGTTATTACAGTCACACCACTGGACATCAGCTGTTGACATCTATTTACATCCACAGTCACACCACAGCGTACACTGATCCACACGGCTGCATTAAGCATCATACAGCAGTTACACCACAGGACACACATTATTAACGTCCATGTTAGACAACACACAAACAGCACTTTTACATTCATGACACAGAATGCGGTGTTAAAAAAAATATACAGTATACAAAATGCATACATTTAAAAAATCTAATTATTTTTTTTTACTAAAAGCTTGCTGTAGTATGTAAACACTCAGTGTCAAAACATAACAACCACGCATGAAAACGAAGCTGAGAAAATGATGTCACAAAAAACATCTCATTTACATATTTCCAGCTATTCAGTCGAGCCCCGCCTATTCAGCCTACAGCAGTTTAGCGCCATCCATCCACTCACACTTCTATAAACACCTGATAGCGATGATGAGTGTATGAGGCCAGACTGAGTAGCCCTGAGTTATTTTGGCAAAGATGTTCTGAGAAAAGTGTTCGCAGGTTCTTACGTGGCTCTTGTCTTCTTTAGTGGTGCTGCCTCGCTTGTCACTGGTTTTTGTGCAGGAACCTCGAGGAGACCTGCGCCAGAGAAAACATCCACCATCAGCATCACAAACAACACAAGGAGTTTTACAGGACGGCAGAAACGTATACTGAACTGCCACTGCATACCACGGCAGAGGGACCAAACTGTCCAACAAGAGAGACTAAAAACTTCTCAGAAGTCTGAGCACAACAACCTTTTATAAAGTGAAGCTGTTTTTTACAGTATACAAAATTATAATTGTCTAAGGCTACGTTCACATTACAAGCCTCACTGCTCAAATCCGATCTCTCTATCCTGACAGTTCACACTCGTTTAGGTAAGTGACTCAACTCTTTCAGTGAGGTGAATGAACTGGTGTCCTGAGATGACCTGCATGTGCACATCCTACTCAGTAACGAATGAATCATGTGTGTCATGAACAGCAAGCACTGACTAGCAGAATGAGTCTTTGCTCTCAGCTGTTCATTATTAGAGCGAGACGAAGGCGAAAAGGGTGAAATGTGCTGCTTTTACACCCTTTACAGGCTTTAACTTCTGTTTGGCGCTGCTGCCAGAGTAACACTGAATGATGGCAAACACACGGATGTAGGACCACATATGAAAGTGGCTCAGGACTGTTTTGAAAAGGGGGAAATTCACAGTGCTAAAGCAGCAAAGGGAGAGAAAGGCACTGAAGAATAGAGTACCAAGAAGAGAATTAACAAGGTATTAACCTTATTAATCACTGCACAGTCACAGTTGGTTACTTGTTACTAGAAAGACTACACACACACACACATATATATATATATATATATATATATATATATATATATCTACAGACAAAAAAATATAAGATAAATATAAACTCAAACTTTAGAACGGTAAACTTTTATATTGTACATAAAAATACAGATTTGTGCCGCTTCAACCTGGTAATATAAACGTAGCCAAAAACTCTGCCCTATGCGTAACAGAGTATCAGAGAAACAGATGGACTACAGTCTGTAACTGTAGAACTACAAAGTGCACCTATATAGTAAGTGGAGCTGATAAAATGGACAATGAGCGTAGAAACAAGGTAAGTGTATTTAAGAAAGCGGCTGGTCAGTCTAAATTCTATACATAAATCATTATAATCAGTAAAAATCTTTGGCATTCTGCTTCGATTAATCTGAGTAATGTTTGGCTGCAAGTCTTTCATAGGTAAGATCAGACAGTGGACATTGAGTAATGTGAGTAATATGAGTGAAGCTCACCGGTTATTACTGTAGTACGTGAACCCAACGAACGGAAGCTGATTTCCCACGAAGGCTTTGGGGATGGGGAACGTCTCCTCTTCTCCTCGATCCTCCTCAATGTCGTCAAAGTTACTCGTGTCGATGTCACTGCTCAACTCCGGCACCACCGGCGCGGCAGCTACAAACACCACAGCACAGCCACAATATTAACAACGACAAAAAAACATTAGAAAAAGTATTCAAAGCATAAAACCACGCAAGAACAACAGAAGGGCTGCAGTGACTAGTCGCCAAGTTCAATCAGTCATCTACCCTATCAATAACTTTCACACAAAACAGTTCATATAAAAACAATAACACTTTATACTGATTTATAATGTTCATATGATCCACACAGTCACTCTGACAGACTGTAATGCACTACAGGAAGTGTAGGGGGCGATATGGCTTCTACTGTTTCATTTAAAAAGCTCTATAATGTTCATATGATCCACACAGTCACTCTGACAGACTGTAATGCACTACAGGAAGCGTAGGGGGCGGTATGGCTTCTACTGTTTCATTTAAAAAGCCTCTATAATGTTCATATGATCCACAGAGTCATTCTGACAGACTGTAATACACTACAGGAAGTGTAGGGGGCGATATGGCTTCTACTGTTTCATTTAAAAAGCTCTATAATGTTCTATGACCTACAGGAAGCGTAGGGGGCGATACGGCTTCTACTGTTTCATTTAAAAAGCTCTATAATGTTCATATGATCCACACAGTCACTCTGACAGACTGTAATACGCTACAGGAAGCGTAGGGGACTTCCTGTAGTGTAGTGACTTTGCTTACTTGATTAAATAAAAACAGTGAACAGATTGATGGGCTGTGAAAATAACTGCAGTCCTGAACGTCAGTGGAGATGGTGAGAACGAGAGAGAGCGAGACCGCAGAGGAGCGGAAGTGAGAGAGCCGGAGGAGTCGTAGTGGCTGAAAGTGCTGACTCACTTTAAGATCACTGATGTCATTCAGACAAATTCTTAATCACAAGCAGTACAGGAAAACCATCTCACGGCCCAGCGCGAACGTCAGCTCGGGTCAATTATAGGACATTTATAATGTATAAAACCTCTTTTTTACTAGTAAATCTTAAAACACTTTATTTTAGTATGAATATTCTTATATACCGTGTCTGAACCACTCAAACAGACTGTCGTGTGGTTATTGATGTTCTAAAGCGACTTCCTTCACTCCGTGTCACATTTTGCGATGCTGCAAGCTGTTCTGTGGTTTTTCAGGCTAGACTTGTGACAGAATTGGATCGGGTTCACTTTCTGTTTCACTCCGATATCCAATCCAGCATTTTCTGCGTTCCAAAGCCTGGGCTGCAGTCCTCGGTAGGGCGGGTCCTCGGTAGGACTGTCCTATGAAGACTCCTCCTTAATAGCCTATTGGTCACACAAATGGATCAGTCCTAACGAGGCTGCGTGGAACGGCGCCAAACTCGTGAGTGAACTGGTGAGAGGAAATGGAGCCTGTTGTGTTTGTGTTTGTTGCTATGGTAGCTAATACCCCAACAAGCTTATGTAGTACAATAAACTACACATATACAAATACTTCAGATTAAAATACCATACATGGACGAATGCTTTAATTAATCTATCACTTTATGCGTTATAAGGTCAGGAAAGCCAATTCAAGGACGTGAACAACTTACATTTTAAAACAAGCTCTGCTCCAACGGCTTCATTTTCCATAATATTTGTGGTGCTTTTTTTTTCTTTCTTCGTAACCGAAGGCCTGGAAGGATATATCACTTGCGTCCTCAAAATCCCACCGAATGTAGGCTGTATACGAAGGGTGCTTCACTTTGGAACAGCCTTCTATGACATAACGGCCAAGAAACGCAGCCAATACCATTATATTTAATACCAGTACTTAATCTGAACCATTTCCAATTGTTCTTATGGTCTATATTCAATTGCGTAAACAGCTCTGGCAGTTCATTTGTGTATTCTGTGTATTTTAGTAAAAGTAATTTATCTGTATCTGAATCCTACCAAAATAAACTGAATCCAATCATGGTGAAACTTCATTCTTCCTCGCTAATATGCGCTAATATAATTTGCTGAACAACTGTAATCAAACTGAATTGTTGTGAGGTCAAAAATTTCCACCTCTAGCAGATATGTTTACTGGCTAATCCATCATATAGTGTTTGTTACTGGATATCACGGTCAGTATTCTTGTGTTTCAAGCGATGTCACACTGTAGAGTCGCCACCATTTTGAGGACTAAATCAGGGAGTGACTCCGCTAACGCGATGCCTTCGATCTGCTGTGCTTTGTGAATGATTGACCTGTAAGACGCGTCAGAAGCCGAGAGACGAGAGACACACGGACCTTTAATTCAGTGTTTTCACTCCAGGCTTGGAGCCGCTGCACTGTATAGTTTAGTGTCTCTCTCTGCTGTTCACACCTCGTTCAGCTCAAGAAGGGCTTAATTAGCTAATAATATCAGGTATTTTAACCAGGAAACCACAGTTATGCAGTGCAGGGGTTTCAGGACTGGAGCTGAACTCTGAACTAACTGCACCAGCAAACTTACAGAATCACGTCTGTCGAAACACGACGTCGTTTTCTGACCCACGACATTCAGTCTGATATTTAACGCTTATGTTTCTCCATTCAAACCTCATTTAAATCAGAAACAGAGAGTAAAGTTATCCCGGCTGTCTGCAGCTCCGTTAGGGGGCGACTGTTCATCTCTCGGCTGATAACATCAGCTAAAGATATCTAAAGGCCTGCATTGTTCACATCTGCGTTAATTAGCTGATGTCGTTACCCTCCTATGATCACAGAGTGTTTCTCCTCTTTATGCAGCACCATGGGATCCTTTACCCACCCTGACCTGAAGAGCCGCTGGGCTTCTGTGCTTTTAAATGCTCTGAGAGACTCCAGAATAGGGAGAGGGCTGAGTATGAGATGAAATATAAACATCAGGAAAACACTAATTTGGTATCTTTCCTCCAGTTTAAGTGGGACCAGGAGTTCAGGGGAAACTGTATAAGGATCAAAGCTAATTTATCGATTTTGTTGGGGAATGTTTTTCTCTTCCAGAGTAAGGAGAGTAATTTTAGCCATCTTTCTCCTCTAGTTACGTTCGTGTGGAGCAGCGAAGCCAATAATTCGGTCCAAATATGGCGGCCACAACAGAAAAATCGCGTGACTGAAACCCTCGGATAGAAGTGTTGACTCACTGTCTCTGATGTTGTCCCAGGTCCACTGGTCGTTTTTGAAAAAAGGATGCCGCTTGATCTCGTCCACTCCGTTACGACCCAACCGCACTTCCCTACGGCACAAACACCAAGACCGGCTTAAACTTCAACCAAAAAAGGCAAATTCACAAATTTTTCAGTTACCTCAAAGCAACTGACAGATAACAGGACAAACTTAGGAACAGAATTCAGCACTGAAGACAGCTGCTGCTGCAAGACCAGATGTTTCCAGATAAGCAACTGACTGTAGTCCATGTTTACAGATAACAGTGTGACATCCAGTGTGGAAACCACATAATCGAGTCTATCAGAGACACTGAGCTCCTCCACTCGGTTTAAGATGAACGTGTGATGTTAAAGAACGCAGTTAGCGCCGTGCTAACCGATGAGGTATAAGCTTCCATTACTCCTTAGATTCACAGGACAATCCGTATTAATACTGAACTTTTCTGTAAATGTGCCAGTTTAGCTTCACACTTAAAAAGACAGTTCTTCAAGGGTTTCTTTAGCAAAGAAAATGGTTCTATAAAGAACCATGAACACTCAGAGTCCATTGTGCATTGTGAAAGTGTTCTTCAGACTGATGAAGCATGTGATGTAGACAGTTCTCTACAGCAGCTGTTCTATATAGCACCAAAAAGGGTTCTTCTATTGTTACAAGCCTGACATCGAAACACTAGCAGAACCCTTTTTGGTGCTATACAGAACTATCTGCAGCACATTCTCCCACTTTCACAATGCAAAGAACCCTTTAATCATACAAAAGGTTCTTTGAGCGTGTATTGTTCTATATAGAACCATTTTGTGTACTAAAGAACCCTTAAAGAACAATCTTTTTTTGTGTGCAGGTACAAAATGACAAAAACACTAATAAAATTACACAAAACATGAATGATACATAAAGCAACACAAGACCAGCACGATATCAGTGGCTAAGATTATTTACATGATGACGATGACTTTTATTTATTTTAACTTAGCTGGAAAAAAACTATAAAGTGTGTATCTCTACTATAAAAATAAAGAGCTGTGATAAAACAGGAAAAAGAGTGAATCCAGTGGTCTAACCGGTCAGTGAGGAAGGCGCAGATGAGGTTTTTTGCGTCCCTGGAGATGTCGCTGTCCTCAGGAAAGGTCAGAGCGTTCTTGTGGTTCATAATCTTGCTGTAGGTTCCCACTAGCGAGTCAGCGTAGAACGGCGTGTCACCTGGACATAATCATGAATGAGCATCTGGGGAAGCGTCACGGAATCAAGGTGTTCATGTAATACAACACATTACTGACCGTACGATCATAAATCATCACAATACACAGATGTATAATCATAAAATGGAATTTTATCTGTACCACACATCCCTATTATAAAAAGAAATAAGATAACAAACCAATGACTAGTGACAGCTACAGCAGATGCGTTTATAACAATATGATAATATTATATTAACCAAACACACCAAAATGAATAAATGCTTAATATTATGCATCTGGTACTACTTCATGTGTTAATAATTATAATAATTATAATAATAATAATGATAACAACACAAAAAAGTTTCAATAAAATGATTATATGATCAAATGCAAGTGTTTTGATAGCCTCTGCAAGACATACATGTCTATGAGATCAAAAAAGAGGAAAACTGTTCAAGGTGCAACTCACCAACAAGCATTTCATACAGGAAGACCCCAACGGACCACCAGTCGCACTCTCGGCCGTAGTAGCCATCTCCACCCTGAGACTTCAGTACCTCTGGAGAAATGTAGTCTGGAGTTCCAACTGCCGTGTCGCATCGTACCATACCGTCCTGAACAGACACACCACGTTTAGAGTTAGAGAGTCAAACTCCGGAGAACTTTCACACACGTCACCCGCAGGACTCGGCACTGCTACGATACCCAACACGTCTACATTCACGCTGTAAGACTGACGTTTATCAGCAACAATAACTTATAAAAAATTATATATTTATATAATTAAAACACAACAGAATAATGTTTATTAAAACAACAAAATGTCAGGAGTAAATGTTTGCAGCAATTATGTCCAACTATTAGATATTAGATCATCTAGAACCTTTCCTACATCCACCTGGACTGATCTAGACCCTTTCCTACATCCACCTGGACTAATCTAGACCCTTTCCTACATCCACCTGGACTGATCTAGACCCTTTCCTACATCCACCTGGACTAATCTAGACCCTTTCCTACATCCCACCTGGACTAATCCAGACCCTCTCTAACATCCACCTGGACTAATCTAGACCCTTTCCTACATCCACCTGGACTAATCTAGACCCTTCCCTACATCCACCTGGACTAATCTAGACCCTTCCCTACATCCACCTGGACTAATCTAGACCCTTTCCTACATCCACCTGGACTAATCTAGACCCTTTCCTACATCCACCTGGACTAATCTAGACCCTTTCCTACATCCACCTGGACTAATCTAGACCCTTCCCTACATCCACCTGGACTAATCTAGACCCTTTCATACATCCACCTGGACTAATCTAGACCCTTTCCTACATCCACCTGGACTAATCTAGACCCTTTCCTACATCCACCTGGACTAATCTAGACCCTTTCCTACATCCACCTGGACTAATCCAGATCCTCTCTAACTTCCACCTGGACTAATCTAGACCCTTTCCTACAACCACCTGGACTAATCTAGACCCTTTCCTACACCCACCTGGACTAATCTAGACCCTCTTTAACATCCACCTGGACTAATCCAGACCCTTTCCTACATCCACCTGGACTAATCTAGACCCTTTCCTACATCCACCTGGACTAATCTAGACCCTTTCCTACATCCACCTGGATTAATCCAGACCCTCTCTAACATCCACCTGGACTAATCTAGACCCTTTCCTACATCCACCTGGACTAATCTAGACCCTTTCCTACATCCACCTGGACTAATCTAGACCATTCCCAATGTCCACCTGGACTAATCTAGACCCTTTCCTACATCCACCAGGACTAATCTAGACCCTCTCCTACATCCACCTAGACAATTCTAGACCCTTTTCAACATCCACTTGGACAATTCTAGACCCTTTCCTACATCCACCTGGACTAATCTAGACCATTTCCATCATCTACCTGGACTAATCTAGACCCTTTCCATCATCTACCTGGACTAATCTAGACCCTTTCCATCATCTACCTGGACTAATCTAGACCCTTTCTAACATTCACCTGGACTAATCAAGACCCTTTCCAAAATTTTCCTTGGACTAATGTAGACTTTTTTCCACTTGGACTAATAGGTAGGACGCTAAGGGAGAGTGGTCATTTGACACTGGATTTTGGGATCGTTTTTGGATCATTTCTGACCGGCATTAGCCTAACCACCCGTGTAGGTCATGTAGAGCAGTGCAGCTTCAGCCATTAACAGGGAACAGAGTTCTGAGCGGAGCTGAAAGCAGAAGATGCAGACAAGACAAACCTTGTTCATCTTCATGCAGGTGCCAAAGTCCGCCAGCTTCAAGTGGCCCGTCTTGTCCAACAACATGTTGTCAGGTTTCACATCCCTGTAAGAACAGACAAAGGAACATTATCATTTACAATAACAGCCTGACCAGCTGTGGTGTCCAGCTGTACGTCAGCAGACTGTGTGCAGTTTAGGGCACAACATGCACACAGATTAAACTCCCCACTGTCTCCGCTGTGGGTCTCCCAGAGTGACACATACCATCTGAGACATTTCACATCCAGCCCGAGTGTCCCCGTGGAGTAAAGTAAAATTATATAAATATAATACTTCACGGTTTCCCACAGGCATCTACAGCAGACATTCTCCATCAGGATTTTCTGATGGAACCATGAATTCTTTGATGTAATTCTTTCCAGACTGGCAGATTTTAATGACTTTGTTTCACATCTGTATTTGAATCACTTTAGAATCTGGCGTCATCTGCTGGGAAGCTATTAGCACAGGTTTGTATGTGTCAATTAAAGAGAAGCAAGCATGAACCCACACCAGGAGGATCTCACACGCTCACAGACCGATGTTCAAAACAAACTATTTTTCGGTGTATGTTGTGTTAATTAGTATTATGTTGTTTAATGTGTGATTTCAGATTAAATGTTTCATTGCATAATAATGAATGGTTAACGTTAAAAATATATAAGTTAAAGTTAGCATAGAAGGTAGGTCTAAGGTGCAACAGATCATGCATGTGCAGTCGTATACAAAAGTCTGGGTGCCCCTGGTCAAATTTCAGGTGTTTTTGATTTTCTAAGTAAAAATAATAACAAGAATAACACATCCTCTACACTGAACACACTTATGCATATTTAAATGCACTAAAATTACTGTTTATTGGGTGAATTTGATGTATAAACTAAAATGTGATCTGTGTAAAAGTAATGGCACATTGTACATTTTTTTTTTACTAAAAAAAAATTTGTTCTCTGTAAAGGATGTGTTAACTTCCCAGGGGGAGGGATGTAACTGCTAATCCTGCTTTTTTCCACTAGAGAATATTGCAGTAATCCTTTCTAAATAGTGTCCAGGCCTAAAACACCCAAGTGTGACACGGTTAATGACCGGCATTAGATCGTTTTGACCAAATTTGTTGTACATTTGTTGGATCACTAGAGTGACTTTCTTGCAGGCCAAACATTTGGCAGCCCTGCTTTAATCCATCAAAACACCCATATAAACTGATCTGGAGCCGTGATCGCTCACGATGCTCACAGCACACAGTAAACAGCACTGACTGGTCAGAGGCATCTTATATAACTCTGCAATATCAGTACTGCAAAGGCTGATCAAGTTTCAAAACATTGTCTGTGCAGCCTCACAGCAGAAGATGAACAGATGATTCATATTTGGGGAAAAGGGAGTTAAACATTTGTGATCAGAGCGGTAAAAACACCTGGAGGCCTGACGTGAACATGCGCACATATTCTGTGTTTTTCTCTAACAGCTGCCAAAATATATGAATGTGTAACTATAAACTGCACATTTAGATGTTGTGTTTATTCTAATAATAAACTAGTTTAAACTTCAAACTTTAAAAGTTTAATACTTGTGTATCGTAAACAATGGCCTAAAGCAGAGGTCACTCCGGACCCAGACACTGTCCTATGCAGACCTGCACCTATAACCGATAAACTATGGAGAAATATTTAATTTCGACGGGGTGGTCCTATTTTAATCGCCGTAACTTTTCTAGCCTTTACGGTAGCTTTAGCAGCCCGGGTGACTCAGACCAATCGCGTGCATTGTAAAAATCACACGTGACTCTACTCAGCCAATCAGATCTGTGCATTACAATGAGCACTGAGACTTGAGAGAGTGACGCCACATAGGGGAGGGACGAGGCGAGAAACAGCCGTCAGAGAAGAAAGTGAGTCAGAGGGAAGTTATTTCACACGTCGTGCTCTAAAAAGAGAAAACTGACAATAAATGTTGTTGAAATGTTACTGAATTGTACTTTATTTGATTTGACATTCAGTTGTTGACTGTATAAGATGTTGATATAACTACTAGGCTAGTTCGGTAAACAGTATATGGCACTGAGTCATGATGTAGTTAGACATTATGATGTTCTGGACCTTTGATTGAGGATATTTTCTCTAACTGGACCTTACTGAATTTTAATTAAAGACCCCTGACCTAAAGGGAAATAAGGGTAAACATAAGAAATCAGGCAGGAGAGAGAAGCTATAAAAGTCCCTTTGAAACATTTCAACATTTAAGTCAAACTTCATTTGCATTCACTAAAGCAAGCTGTTCAGTTTAATGGAGATACAATTCAGGATTTAGGGAGGCTGTGTACTTTTTGGGGATGAATTTTTGAATATTTGGATGGTCAAAGTTAAAAACAAAGAGTGAATTAAATTTTAATATGCATATACGTATATAAGAATATAAGAATCATGAAACTACATGCTTAAGAACCTTGGGACACGTTCTCCAGCAGAGGGCAGCGCGGGGTCTACGTCAGAGGTTCTAATACAAAGCAAGCTGTTTTTTTTTTCCTCCAAAAACTATTTTTCAGCCAAAAGGTATGAGGGGGAGAAAAAACAAGGCTGGTAACGTCAGCTGAGGCGAAAAACAGACAGTCAGTGTTTGTCTGTTTATCTTAGAGACTTTTAATTGGCTGCCTTTCTCGCTACAAGACGTCACCTACGACGGGTTTGTGGTCTGGGTTTGATATGGTGCAGCAACAGAGGTGCAGGGGGTGTTTTTTTTGTTTTGTCTGCTTAATTGCAGAACATGGCCTTATAATTAATGTAATACAGTATAAGCCTCATATCTGGGGTGGGGTAGGGGTTAATATTCAAATACTTTTCCTTACAAATGCAAATACTGAATCTGAATTCAAATATAAAACACCCATCCTTAGTATTTCAGTCCATGTTTACAGATAACAGCGAGTCAGACTGTCAGGAACCACAGAATCAGGTCTATTGGAGATACTGAACAAATCCACACAGTTTGAGGTGACTGTGTGGTGATGTAGGCATTGTGCTAACTGGTGGGGCGTAAACCTGCATTGCTTGATAGCTACATTAGCCTCATAGCTCTTCTATCTTCAGACTACAAACTTGTCTTGTGAGGTGAAATGTGGGCTGAACGTCGCTGACCTGTGGATGAAGCCCATGGCGTGGATTCCGTCCAGCGCCAGCACCACCTCGGCCGTGTAGAACCGAGCCCATTTCTCTGGGACGTCGTAGTTACTCATGAGATTGACCAGGTCGCCGCCCGGCATGTACTCCATCACCATGTAGAGGTAGCGGTCGTCCTGGAACGCGTAGAAAAGCTGCACAGCAGAAGAAGAAAAGATGACAAACCTTTTGAACAGTTTAAATGACCAATCAACCCATTTCATTTCATTTATATAGAGTTATATGCAAATGTTTGGGCACATCTGATTGAATTCCATGTTGTTGTTGCTTTTGTAAGTGTAAAATAAGCTGATATAACCTTGACTTCTGCACATTTTATGTTTTTTTAATTACACTACACAAATAAATAGAATAAAATAGAAATTGTGCTCTAAAATCTATTAACCTACTATCACTTAAAATAATCAACAACGTAACCAACTCAACTGATTCTGAGGTAAAGCAGGCAGCGTTAGCCAACCAGCTCATTTTCAAATGTAGCCCTGATGTTATGAGCCAGAAACGCAGTTTACAAGCAAACAAATTAATACCATATGTACAAAGCACAGCAATGGCAATGAAGAATAGAACTCAATTAATTAAAACATTAAAACAATGAAAAAGCAAAATCATAGCACAAAAAATGAACAGCGAACTTCACAGCTTAATCATTTCCCTGCTTCAACACACATGACTGAACTTCCTCTTTAATCTGAAGAGCTGAATGAGGAGTTTAATGGAGTGTGACATTTATTTTCAACATTTCTGCCTAATTAAACGGTTAAGAAGTGAATAAAGTCATTCAGAGTGGTTTGGTGTGAAACGCTCTGTTCTAGAGAAACTTACCGAGTCAGAACTGTTCACAGTGGTGGTGATAGGAACCAGACGTCCACCTCTAAAAGCTCCCTCACAGAAAGTCACTACATGAAATGGCTGTGTTACATATATGAACTCAGAAGACTCCTGTAGGTTCACTGGTGGTTCTGGATAGTAAATAAAATGTCTATATTTGTGTTGTAGTCATGGCGACCCCTGGTTCCTATCACCACCACTGTAAAGACATCTGAACCATTTCACACCAAACCACTCTGAATCTCTCTGTTTACATTTCACACACTGAGTTATGAATAATTTTTTTTTAAAAATGGTGGAGTTCCCCTTTAACCAGGTAACCACTGAACAGTGCAGTGCAGCTGCAGACCCTGTGGAAGATTAAGCTCTGCACCTGCACGACCCACGAGCTGTTGGCGAAGGCCATAATGTCCCTCTCCTCCCAGAAGAAAGCCGAGTCCGACCGCTTTATCATCTCGAATTTGCTGAGGAGCTTCATGGCGTAAACCTTACTGGTAGCTTTGTGCCTCACCTGAACACAGAGAGAGAACAGGGAGGAGTTAGAAACACTGCAGGTCCATCAGGACATCAACCCTGAAACGCACAGGTGGGCTGAGCTACAGAACAACACGTCTGAGAGAGAGAGAGAGAGAGAGCGAGAGAGAGAGAGCGAGCGAGCGAGCGAGAGAGCGAGAGAGAGAGCGAGAGAGAGAGAGAGAGAGAGAGAGAGAGAGGATTTTAAGCCGTGCCTTTCTCCAGCAATTCTGAGCAATTATGTAAGTAGATTTTTAGCAATGATGTTCTCCTATTAGTAGATTTATTTAGCCGTGACCATCACTCACTGGTGGATTTAGAGCTGTGTCGTTCTTCCTATTGGTGGATATGTAGCCATGCTGCTCTTCTACTGGTGGATTTAGAGCAGTGCGTTTCTCCTATTGGCGGATATCTGGCTGTGACGTTCTGCTGGTGGATTTACAGCCATGACGTTCCCCTACTGGTGGATTTACAGCCATGACGTTCCCCTACTGGTGGATTTACAGCCATGACGTTCCCCTACTGGTGGATTTACAGCCATGACGTTACCAATAGATTTTTAGCTAGGCCGTTCTCTTACTGCTGAATTTATAGGCATGACGTTCTCCTATAAGGAGATTTTTGGCCATGACACCATCCTACTAATAACTTTTTATTATTACCTTTATTTAACCAGTAAGGAAACATGCAGAGATCAGCAGTGTCCTGGCCAAGATAGGCAGGAACACATACCAGAATATTTGACTGTGATGTTCTCCTATTGATGGATATCTGGCCGTGATGTTCTTCTACAGGCGGATTTGAAGCCGTGCCTTTCTTGTGTTGGTGGATTTTCAGCTGTGACGTTATCCCGTTGGTGGATTTTCAGCCGTGGCGTTATCCCGTTGGTGGGTTTTTAGCCGTGACGTTATCCCGTCGGTGGGTTTTTAGCCGTGACGTTATCCCGTTGGTGGGTTTTTAGCCGTGACGTTATTCTATTGGTGGGTGTTTGGCTATGACGTTATCCTATTGCTGGGTTTTTTGATCTAAGGCCACTGAGATTAATTAATCACTAAAGACTATTTGTGACTCACTATGTGAGTTTTTTCAGTCACAGCATTACTGTGGCATACAGCACCTTGAGAAAGCATGAGAGGCCGAGAGAGGAAGAGAGAGAATGACAAAGTGTGAACAGAGAGAGCAGAACATAGGTCACCACAGAGAAAGGTAGAGAGAGAGCGGAAAGGATTCAGTAAAAACAGTCTTCAAAACGCAGCTCGCTCTCAGTAACTGCAGCAGAGATTGTCAGAGGTCAAAACACCACAGACCGTTTCAGTGAGATCACCGAGCGGTTATATGCAAAACTACTTTCATCATCTCTGGAATAAACCTGTACAGACAGCTTAGTTACAACTGCACCTAAACAGAAACCAATCACATTAAAAACAAATAAAGAAACGAGCAAAACCAAAACCAAAAACCACACGACCGCCAAAAAAGACACAGAACTCTCCTAGACAGAACCAACATTGCTGTAGATTATCAATATAACCCCATTTCCAAAAAAGTTGGGATGCTGTCCAGATTGTAAATAAAAATAGAATGCAATGATTGGTAAATCATGTAAACCATATTTTAAAGGAAAATACTACAAAGACAACATATTAAATGTTGAAACTGATAAATTTTATTGTTTTTTGATAAATATTTGCCCATTTTGAATTTAATGCCAACAACACGTTCCAAAAAAGTTGTTTACCACTGTGTTTCATCACCTCTTCTTTTAACAACACTCTGGGAACTGAGGAGACACTGCTGTAGTTTTGAAAGTGAAATGATTTCCTGTTCTTGTTTAATATAGAATTTCAGCTGCTCAACAGTTCGGGGTCTCGTTTGTCTCATTTTTCATTTTATAATGTGCCAAATGTTATCAGTGGATGACAGATCTGGACTGCAGACAGGTCAGTTTAGCACCTGGACTCTTTTAATACGGAGCAATACTGGTGTAATGCATGCAGAATGTGGTTTTACATTGTCTTATGGAAATAATCAAGGCCTTCCCTGAAAAAGACGTCGTCTGGACGGCAGCATATGTTGTCAAAACATGTATATATCATTCAGCATTAATGGTGCCTTCACAGATGAGCACATCACCCATACCATGTGCACTAATGCCCCCTATACCGACATGAATACTGGCTTTTGAACTGTGCACTGATAACAAGCTGAGTGGTCTTTAACCCAGAGGACACAGTGTCCATGATTTCCAAAAATAATTTCAAATGATGATTCGTCGGACCACAGGACACTTTTCCACTTCACCTCTGTCCATTTTAAATGAGCTCCAGCCCAGAGAAGGCGGCAGCATTTCTGGATCACATATATATACGATTTCCACTACAGAACCATGTCTGTTTTTAATGCAGTGCTGCCTGAGGGCCCAAAGATCACAGCCAGAAAATACTGGTTTTTGGTCTTGTCTCTTACATACAGAGATTTCTCCAGATTCTCTGAGTCTTTTAATGATATTATGTACTGTAGATGATGAAAAACAAAAGTTCTTTGCTATTTTACGTTGAGAAATGTTTTTCTTGAATTGTTGCACTATTTGATGGTGCAGTCTTTCACAGAGTGGTGAACCCCTCCTCATCTTTACTTCTGAAAGTCTCAGCCTCTCTGAGAGGCTCTTTTATATCTAGTCATGCTACTGACCTGTTGTCAATCAACCACCAGGTGTTTTTTTCAGCATTATACAACTTTACCAGCCTTTTGTTGCCCCTGTCCCAACTTTTTTGGAACGTGTTGTTGGATCAAAATCAAAATGGGCAAATATTTTTCAAAAAACCAAAAAAAATTCTCAGTTTTAACATTTTATATGTTGTCTTTGTACTATTTTCAATGAAATATAGGGTTTAAATGATTCACATATCACTACATTTTGTTTTTATTTACATTTTGCACAGCATTCCAACTTTTTTGGAAATGTAAAGGTTAGAAAGTAGCTACTCTGTTTCTATGGTGTACATCGTGGGAACTGAAATGGCTACATGCATGTAGCTGTGGACTACAGTGGGCTAGAGTTATTCAATGCTGAATCCAGTTTACAGTCCTGGATTTTGTAATCACCGGCAGTGAACTGAACTGTTGATGTTACTGTTTGGCCACCCCGAGTCACACCTTCCAGTGATTACAAAATCCAGGAGTGGGAACTGGACTGAACGTCTGAATTTGAAGCTCTTTTACTTTTTATTTTTTATTTATTACATTTTTAATGGCATTTGGCAGACACTCTTATCCAGAGCGACTTACAGTTTGATCATTTTACACAGGTAGGTGAAGGTAGTGTTGGGAGTCTTGCCCAAGGACTCTTATTGGTATAGTGTAGGGTGGTTACCCAGGTGGGGGACTGAACCCCAGTCTACAGCATAGAAGACAGAGGTGTTACCCACTACACTACACCAACCATTTTAAAGGAAAACCAAAACAGATCAAAATAAACAGCTGGACAGCTGCTCTAAATGTGATGGAGATCAGCATAAGATGAATCTGAGTAATACAATCTTACCAGCTGTACTTCTCCAAACGCTCCTCTGCCGATGACTTTAACCACCTCATAGTCCTCAGCTTTCATACGCAGATCCCGTATTTTACTGATTGTGTCCTTATCTGAGGGGGGAGAGAGGGAGAGAGAGAGAGGGAGACATTAAGATTCATGAACAGCTTAATAATTAGCAGATAATCTGAATCGGCCCAAATAAAAAGTAACATATTGATGTCACTGCATTTTGTTTACATTTTGCAAAGTATATAACAATATTTAATTGTACAGAGAAACACCACCAACTGCCTTTACTGCTCTAAAATCTGTGACACAAATGAAAAGCTCTGTTGAACATTAAAGCGATAGTTTGGTGAAAATTTTAATTGTTTCCATGTTCGTTGTTGTTCATGTTTGGTGTCTGAACTTTGCCTTGTTGAGTTTTAGCATGGGAGCTAAGAGGCTAATGTAGCTAACAAGTAATGGAAGCTTGTTGCCCAGCAATTAATTACTCCTTATAACGTCAGAGTGAGTGGGTGGGGCTAAACAGCTGTGAGCTAGATGAACAGATGGCTGTGTGTGTTGGTTTTGAAAATGAACTGAAAACAGGCTGTTTTTGCAGCTTAGTTTCCATATATGGACGGTATGGATGGAGAATGAAGGGCATATTTTGAAACCTCAATTATGTATACAGACCACATCAAACTCTTGAAAAAGCCAACTTACTGTTCTTTGTAATCTTCTTCCAATTATTATTCTACGCTCAAAACATAAGTGTTTCTCATCCTGCAGTTTTCAAACTAGAACCACAAAACTTTGCCGGATCGTAGGACCTATACCCGATTAGGTTGCTTGTGCTTTTCTAAACGATCTGATGTACAGTTTAGTAAAACGATCGTTCAAAGGCGATAATTTTTCCCATAGGAAATGAATGGGTGCAATGTTCGGCACATTCAAGTCTAACTGCCACAACTAATGTCACAATGGACATCTCTCACACAGACACTCATACACAGTACACACAGACTCACACGCTTACAGCCTACTGCACAGGAATAACAGCACAAATAGTGGATTTAAGGTGGCACTGAAATTAATGTAGCACTGAATTTAAGGTGGAACTGCATTTAAGTTAGCACTGAATTTAAGGTGAAACTGCACTAAAGGTAGCACTGAATTTAAGGTGGAATTACATTTAAGTTAGCACTGAATTTAAGGTGAAACTGCACTCAAGGTAGCACTGAAATTTAAGATATCAGTACATTTAAGGTGGCAATCAATTTAAGGTAGTAAATAACCTTAAATAACTATTAACTATAAACAGCCTTCCACCATATTAACGTTTTAACGCAATTCGCTGGCTTTTTAAATCCAGCTTCAAGTTCGTTCACAAACGTTCCCTTTCTGAAAACTACATTAGAAGTAAGGTGGGGCAGACGACTGTAAATTAGATTTTTTTCCGATCTATCGCTTCAATGACTTTATTCGGGTTATTCAACAGCATAGAAACTAAGCCCAAACATCAACAATACGGGCTTTTAAAGCGTCATTATTGGTAAAACCACACCAACAGACATTTCCAAGTACAAAGCTCTTCCATTAAGGTCAGTAACCCGGCCTAATGGAGGAGGCGTTTGATCTCGGCCCACTGAGCCGCTTCTTTAGGTCTTTCTTTTGGACCACATTCTCCACTCAGTCACTGTGAGCTGTGGTTTTCTCCCCAAGGCCAAATCCTTCTCAATAAACCTTTCATTCACGGCTGCCGCGGCGCTATATCCAGCCTTCCGCAGCACGCTCCATTAACAAACGCATACAGGAAGCTGCTAGAGAAGCCTCAGCTGCGGGGAGGGAGGGGTGGGGGGGGAGGTGGGATTTACAGCAATACAGGACACTGGGGCTCGGTAGTAGTACTATTTCTGACATTAGGTTACTGTTAATAGACACTCGAGTTGGATTTTTTTTAAAAAATATACAAAAACAACCATCTCTGATTTGTGTGGTCAATGTTCACAATCTTGTATTTACAAAGTGAGAAAACAGTACATTGTGATGAACTAAACATCTTCACAACAATAAATTTAAGAATAATTAAAAGAAAACAAGAAAAATATTCATATAGTCAACAAATTATTCAATACTTATTTACTGTATTATTATAAAGTGGTGCAGGTCAACCACATTAAATAAAAAATAAAAAATAAAAAAAACAGCCAATGGTGAGTCAGAATGCTTTACAGCCTTTAAACAACACAGATAAAACAAGGTTACTTGTGTTATTTATATTTATTAGGGATGCACTAAATGTCAGCCACCAAAAGAGAAAAAAGTCTGAAAATACTGACAGAAAAAAGATTAAATAGATCTACAACAAAGCATGAAATCTAAGACTGGTTGTAGATTATACATTATAATGGCAATGAAATGGTGATTAAATCTTTGTTCAGTGAAGTGCTTTCACAGCCAACCAGGCCAACTTCAATTGCAGGCAAATTTTGTTTCCTCTTTTCAGATACTTCACTGTATCCCTAATAAATATAATTAACAACAACAACAACAACAATAATAATAATAATAATAATAATAACAACAACAATCATAATAATAATAATAATTATTATTTTACCTGTGTTGTTTAGGACTGTGAAGCACTCTGCCTCAGCACTCGTTGTTTTTCCTTACTAAAGTTCAAAGTGGTCAACCGGTGCCACTTTACTTATGTCTTCAGGACTGATTTAGTGTATCGGGATCAATTGTTGACTGAGAGTAGTGATTAAAAATGCTTTGTTTCCGTCGCTGGACAGCACAGTCTGAGCTGCAGCAGGTGAACTGCTGAAAATATCAGCCACATTCAGCTATTTCACCATTTCTACAAGGAACATTAGACAGGGGATTTATGGTAAACTCACAGTAGGCGATCTGTACTGTTCCATTCGTTTGACTGGTGTGATCCCTTCGTACCGAACCAGGCCCGAACCCACCTCCTCCAGCGGCCCTCGGCACAGCACGACGCGATCACACTAGTCAAAGGAACTGGACTTTGGAGGTCAAATGTGTTCGGGCACCGTTCAGTTGGACTCAGGAACAGTATGCATCAAACGTGATCGCTAACTCGAACATGATCCGACTGTCCCGCTCTGCAATTAATTCGATAATGTGCAGGTTAACGGCAGGTCTGGCTCTCATCTTACTGAAGAATCATAGTCGATGAGAAAAGCTGCAAATTCTTCCCTCAGAGTCAGTTGGCCTAGTGTGAGTACAGCCTTATAATCCCTGTTCGTGTGGAGCATCAAGGCAGGATACAACACCCAAGAACTTCATTATAGGTTTAACAGCACCTAAAAACACGAGTTGATACACAGAAAACAGCAAAACAGCAGCAGATTTATGGAACTCACTGCCTTGGGTGACCTACTGCTCTCTGTTGTAGAGGGTGTTGTGTTTTGTGGCTCTGTAGCCCAGATACTGTAATCATCTAATAAGTTTAAAACACAAAACACAAATTTTACCTCTATTACCTTGAAGTTTAAGTTAAAAAAGCATAAATTAGGCAAATTATGTGCTAAATTGCTGTTTCGAGAACCGAAAACTAATACATTTATTTTTTTTTAAATATCAATGCATTAAATAATACTACTACTACTACTACTACTAATAATAATAATAATAATAACAATAACAATGTTTATTTATATAGCACTTCTCATGCCAGTGGCAGTTAAAAGTGCTTTACAGACAGGAGATAAAAAGTAGTTATACAAGAAACTCTAAGAGAATCATAAGAAAATGACACAGATCAAATTAAACACCACGAGATGTAGAGTTTTAATTAAACACTAAGTTAAACTAAGTTTAAGTGTCTCTTAAAAGTGAGCTCTGAGCTTGACTGTCTAATAAAAAGTGAACTGAGCTCCACAGTTTAGAAGCAGAATAACTGAAAGAGTCTCTCCATGTTTTCTGTATTTTACAGAAGGTGTTCAGAAGGTCAGTATCTGCAGATCTAAGATCATAAACAGACAGACACTCAGGTTATTTTGAGCTTTAAAAACTAGTAGCAGAGCTTTAAAAGAGTTGTAAGGGATGCACTGTTTTCTTAGGAAGTTCAGTAAGAGGATCATTACAGTGATCAACTCTGCTGTAACAAACGCATGAACACGTTTCTCTGCGTCACTCTGAGATAGAAAAGGCCGAACTTTGGCAATATTATTATTAATATTGTTAGCAATAATAAAATGAAATAGGTGCAAGATTTATTATCAATTATGCCAATCTCTAGTCTGAAGAAACAGCTCCAGAATATCCACATAAAAAAAGAAACAATAACGTTGCCAGAGTGACCAGCAGTGCAGCCCACAGCGGCTATATCTCAGTAACAGCTGGGCCTCGTTGAAGGAAAGATAACATTCAGCCAAATTTGGTCATCGCGGAGCAGGTCTGACTCGCCTTTTCCCATTTAACAGGATCACACTGGGCACGTTCATGCAGAGGAACGAGGGCGAGAGGGGGCGTGAAGGCATCCCGGCTCAGCTCAGCTCAGCTAAAAATAAAGAGCTCTTAAAGCAGAGTCATTATAACAGGGCTGAATCCAGCTGTTGTGAACAGAGCTGGCAAACAGAGCAGATTCCAAACCGACAGACAGCAGATCCGAGCTCCAGCGGTGGAACTCCCAGCCCTGCAGTGGAACTCCCAGCCCTGCAGTTTACCGTTTTACCTGCTCCAATATGTCTGAGACTGATGTAGGTAACAACTAATGGAAACTAATGTACAGTAATGCAAATGTATTTGGGAACACTTTGTGAATACCGTGCCTATAAGACACCAGGACCCAGGCTTGTGGTATGGGCAGCGCCCCATCGTCAGATCACAGCCCCACAGCCTTTGTGGACTGTCCACACTACGATCAGTGAGGGGGTGGTCGGGAGGAGCTGGCGGTAGGCAGGTCACTTTCCTGCGCCGTCACCACACCATCTGAGCATGTTTTCAGTGTGCACAGAAAAGCGAGGCTGTAAATACAGAATGCAGGCTGCGCCCGATCCTCTTAATCCATATTCACCATACCCGCATTTCTCCTGTAACCCAGTTCAACACGACAAGCTATGTGGTAACACCTCATTACCTGCTGTGCCTGCTT